AACACGAACGAACACATCTTAGTTCATGTTCTGCTTGTTAACTTATTGAACGAAATTAGCGAGCCGAACACGAGCTTCTTTACGAGTCGAACACGAGCTGTTCACGAACGAGCCGTTTTGACAGCCGTAGTTGTAGATTTTGTTTTGAGGGCATTTATATGCATGCCACACTTTTCTTATGAATTTACAGATCTACCACCTAAACTTTTATTTTTTTACATTTATAACACTCAAATTTCTTATTTCAAATAAAAAAAATATCACTATATTTAATTTTTTAAAAAGTAAAATATAGCTTTTCATGTATATGTATAGTGATGTAAATGTAAACATCAAAATTTATATGTTAGATACATAACAATTTTGTGGCATATATGTAAATCTTCATTTCTTTTATGCCAATATTTTATTTAGGAAGATTTATATGCATATCTATTTACATATCTAACACTTAGAGTATTTATATTTATAGTTAGCAAACTATTAATCGGAAATTTAATAATTTTCAACTCTGATTGTTATTTTTAAAACTTTATTTCAAATTAGATGTGAATTAATATCAATTTAACTTTAACGGAAGCTCTAATTAAATTATTACAGAACTATGTATTTATAAATCAAATTGAAATTTAATATGTTAGTATATTATTTTATTTTTTATTAAGTGAGAATATTTTGGATGATTTTTTTCTCTCTTAAGTTATTCAAAAAGCATATTTAGTGATTCATAAATCACAATATGAAGGCATTCAAAACTCACAATACTCAAGAACCCTGTGAGTTATACCTTCTTCTGGAGCCACAACATCATTATTTAGGAATTCTTAGATCATTCAAACCATTATGAATCAACTCTATTTGATATTTACAATTGATCGACCTTCAATGATTGGCATCCTTCCACTTGTTGGCAAATACCAAGTAAAATCGATGCTTATTTTCTTCTATTGTTAAAATTAAATGTTGTCGGACATTCATGCTTGTCATTGCCCTTCATTGATGCCAAATGTCTACCGATCAAGATTCTCTTACGTCCACTATTGTGTGATACTGATGTCAAATTCTTGATGTTTAGTGAACACCAATCATTTGTCAAACATCTAGAATTAAACAACACTAACTATTAACTAATGACGACATTTTCTCATTAATTGTCCCACATCGTGTATTGGGTCGAGCTTCTATTCGAATTCAATCATATGTAGGCCAGTTTTACTAAAAATTTTGAGTTGATTTAACATTATAAAATAGAAAAAATATAAAATTGTAACGAGTATAATAAATGTATTTAATACATCAAATACATGTCATGTTAGGACATTATAAACTTGAAATAGGATTTGAGCTAATCGTCGTGCCTAAAAATTCAACTTAAAATTTTATATTTAAGGTTTGAGTGGTTAAAATATTATATTTAATATTTTAGGAGTTTGATATGTAAAAATCTCATAATTAAAAAATAGAGCAAATTTTAGCCTTTAACTAATCTTAGCACCAGTAATTCGAAGCGACTCTTAGGTAGTGAACAATGTAATCTAAAGCTATATCAGCCATCAAAAACAGATCTGGCGGTTCAATTTTGCAATTATTACGTAATCGACTCTCCTTAGGCCCTACGGCTGAGGATGTAAGGCATGTATGGGTGAAGCAATGGCAATGGGTGCGACGATCTGAAGCACCTGCACGCATCAGTTGTCTTCACAACCATATTTTCTCGTTTTCCGTCGATCTCTCGATTCTCATGTTTCATGGCTTCGCTCCCCTCAAATCCTTCAGTGGTTCACTCTCCTCATTCACTCCGCAACGATATATATTGAATTGGTTCACTTCCGCCCCATTTTATCAATTCTTTCTTTGATTGGCTTCGGGCTGGTTAATTGGAGTCGGAGATCGGTAAAACCTTCGATCTTGCGGGGTTGGGGATGAGGTGGGAGAGCGTTCAGGTGGTGGCGAGGGCGAGGGCGAGGGCGAGGGCCAGGGAAACGGCGACGGCGACGCTGGAAGGTAAGAAATCGGCGGGAAGAGCCGGCGGGGCTTGGGGACCCGGCAGGCGATGGGGTCACTCCTGCAACTCCGTCAAAGGAGGCAGATATGTCTATGTATTCGGCGGCTATGGCGGCGATACTTGTCAGACTAATGATGTGCACGTCTTCGACACTGGTGAGGAGAAATCCCTTCCGACTTCTTTTACATTGAAACCCTTCTTTCGTATTTCATTTCAATCTGTATGGTGAATGCTGGTGATTTTCTGTTGTGATTTCTGGTTGAAGAGGTTATCGTTTTGGAACAGAGAAAGAGAAGAGTTTTTTCAGTTTTGTGGAGTTGGTTGTTGAAACTTGTCTGGCAATTGTTGGTCAATTAACTATTATGAAGCTTCTCCGTAGTAATTATTTTTGTTTGTGGGTTTAGTTGGTGTTTATAGTGATTAAAAGGTAATCTGTTTAATGGGTTGAAATTGGATTGCTAAGTTTTTGGTTTGCTCAAAATTAAATTTGGATTCACGAGAATTGAATTCTTGATCTTGCCAGATAGAGTAAGAAAGTAACATTTCAAATGTAGGATTTGCCACATTGTTTTGCTCAATTGATACTGCAAATCCAATCTTTGTCTCGAATAGACTAAGCCGTGTTTTGAAACTCTTTAGGCCTGTTTATTTAGATATTATCTTAATGTAGGTATGAATTAAATGGAACGTATAAATTTATTGAGAGGTTTGATGGAGAAGTTTAGAGATAATAAGGAGAATCTACATTTGATTTTTATTGATTTAGAAAAAGCTTACGATAAAGTTCCAAGAGATGTCCTTTGGAGCGTTCTAAAAGGTGTTGATATGACTTATATGTTGATATGACTTATATTTAAGTCATTAAAGATATGTATACTAGTGTTATTACTCGTGTTCGAATTGAAGGAGGATTGACCAAATATTTTTCTATTTCTGTTGGATTACATCAGGGATCGACTTTAAGCCCATATTTTTTTGCTTTAGTTGTGGAGTGGATGGTCTTACTGGACATCTTACTGGACATTTATAGGGGATTTACCTTGGCATTTGTTTTTGCTGATGATATCCTTCCCGTGGATAAGACGAGAGAAAAAACCCAGGAAAAAAACTCGAATTATGGAGGTCTATATTGGAGTCTAAAGGCCTTCATTTGATTAGAACTAAAACTGAATACATGGAATGTATTTTTAGTAGTAGTAGCTCTAGTGACAAAAGTGTAACTTTGGGTGATCAAATTATTAAAAGGTGTGAACAATTTAGATATTTCGGGTCTGTTGTTCAAAGCGATGGTGATATAGATGGGGATGTTAATAGTAGAATTCAAGTTGGTTGGTT